TCTTCAACAAATTGTGCTGGCAAAACTGGATGTCAATCTGTAGAAGAATGAAAATAGACCCATATCTATCACCATGCACAAAACTCAAGTCCAAGTGGGTGAAAGACCTCAATATCAGTCCAAACACACTGAACCTGATTGAAGAGAAAGTGGGAAGTACTCTACAACACGTGGGCACAGGAGACCACTTCCTACGTATAACCCCAGCAGCACAGACAGTAAGGGCCTCATTGAATAAATGGGACCTCCTGAGACTGAGAAGCTTCTGTAAAGCAAAGGACACTGTTGCTAAGACAGAAAGGCAACCCACTGACTGGGAGAAGATCTTCACCAACCCCGCAACTGACAAAGGTCTGATCTCCAAAATATATAAAGAACTCAAGAAACTAGACCGTAAAAGGCTAATCAACCCAATTATAAAATGGGGCACTGAGCTGAACAGAGATCTCTCAACAGAAGAAGTTCAAATGGCCAAAAGACACCTAAGGTCATGCTCAACTTCCTTAGCGATCAGGGAAATGCAAATCAAGACAACTTTAAGATACCATCTTACACCTGTCAGAATGGCTAAAATCAAAAACACCAATGATAGCCTTTGCTGGAGAGGTTGTGGAGAAAGGGGTACACTCATCCATTGCTGGTGGGAATGCAAACTTGTGCAACCACTCTGGAAAGCAGTGTGGAGGTTTCTCAGGAAATTCGGGATCAACCTACCCATGGACCCAGCAATACCACTCTTGGGAATATACCCAAGAGAGGCCTTATCATACAACAAAAGTATATGCTCTACTATGTTCATAGCAGCATTGTTTGTAATAGCCAGAACCTGGAAACAACCTAGATGCCCTTCAATTGAAGAATGGATGAAGAAAGTATGGAATATATACATATTAGAGTACTACTCAGCAGTAAAAAACAAGGACTTCTTGAAGTTTGCAGGCAAATGGATGGAAATAGAAAACACTATCCTGAGTGAGGTAAGCCAGACCCAAAAAGAGGAACATGGGATGTACTCACTCATATTTGGTTTCTAGCCATAAATAAAGGACATTGAGCCTATAATTCGGGTTCTTAGAGAAGCTAAATAAGAAGGAGAACCCAAAGAAAAACATATAGGCATCCTCCTGAATATTAACCTTCATCAGGCGATGAAAGGAGACAGAGACAGAGACCCACATTGGAGCACCGGACTGAAATCTCAAGGTCCAAATCAGGAGCAGAAGGAGAGAGAGCACGAGCAAGGAACTCAGGACCGCGAGGGGTGCACCCACACACTGAGACAATGGGGATGTTCTATCGGGAACTCACCAAGGCCAGCTGGCCTGGGTCTGAAAAAGCCTGGGATAAAACCGGTCTCGCTGAACATAGCGGACAATGAGGACTACTGAGAACTCAAGAACAATGGCAATGGGTTTTTGATCCTACTGCACGTATTGGCTTTGTGGGAGCCTAGGCAGTTTGGATGCTCACCTTACTAGACCTGGATGGAGGTGGGTGGTCCTTGGACTTCCCACAGGGCAGGGAACCCTGATTGCTTTCTGGGCTGACGAGGGAGGGGGACTTGACTGGGGGAGGGGTAGGGAAGGGGGAGGCGGAGGTGGGGAAGAGTCAGAAATCTTTAATAAATTAGAAAAAAGAAAAAAACAAATAAAAGTTGAGTATAGTTGCGTGGTGGTGATCACATGTAGGTATTCATGTTTGTGAAAAATTCTGGGCATAGCTTCTGATGTGAGTAGGAGATACAATCTCATAGCAAAGTAACTGATCCTATGGATTTGACAATTTTTCTTGCTCTCCTTCTCAGTGTTCTCTGAGTCTTAGGTGGGGGCAGCTTTTGTAGATGTATTCCTTTGTACTGCATTTTGATTGGTTAAAGTTTTTTTATTGGTCTCTGCCAGTTGCAAAAGGAAGTTTCATTATGAGTGGTTAAAATCTTCCTTATCTTTGGGATTAAGGACAGTTTTTATATTTTATTAGTAATTATCCTGGTTTATTTTAATTTTTAGATTTTCCTCCAACAACTATTATTTCACAAGATTGATTATTTATCTTGTTTTTCCCTTATTGAGCATGTTGTAAATCCAATTAGAGAGCTGTGTTGGTGCTTGATATTAATCGTAGTTTCCTATCTGTGTAAGACTTAATTGTGTCCCTCTTTTGACGTTTGCATGGCACCTCTGAAATGATAAAACCTGATGTTCAGAAAATGATCATTTCTGTCAGTTCCAGCATAGGTGTGTCCCAGCTCTGATTCTATTTATTTATTTATTTATTTATTTATTTATTTAAGATTTCTGTCTCTTCCCCGCCACCGCCTCCCATTTCCCTCCCCCAATCAAGTCCCCCTCCTAGTCAGCCCAAAGATCAATCAGGGTCCCTGCCCCGTGGGAAGTCCAAGGACCACCCACCTCCATCCAGGTCTAGTAAGGTGAGCATCCAAACTGCTTAGGCTCCCACAAGTTCCCATTCTGTGAAAGAATAAACCTTGAGAAACATATCCTCCCAATATCTGGAAGAAATATGATGCCCACAGCACGTGCAAGCTATAAACCATTTTACATTCAAGGACATGAGGAATAATTTCTTAGAGAAATCTCATATTCCTTAAAGACAATTATTTGTGACAAGGAGGAAGAGTAGTCAGGTCCTATAATCTGAAGCCTCAAAAGAACCATGGACATAGATATTATTGCAATGACATCTGGAAAGAGAATTCATATGCACATATGCAAGGGAAGAAAATCTATGATCTTTTCTGGCCTTAAAATAATTCTGGAGTAGTTGACATGTGATAAAAAAGTAAAATTAGACTGTTTACCTGACAATATGTGTTAGTTATAGGAGATCCTGCCCTTTCTTATAAATCATATCTATAATAGTTTTCTATTTCTCATGTGGGAATCTATGTGGGTAAGGAACTGCATCACACTTTGCAGATCTCAGTACCAGTAGAAACATCTACACATTATGCTCATTCCAAAGGCTCCAGAAAAGTTTTTAAGATTGGGATGAAAATATTGTAAGTGGAGTTTTCTGAGAGATATTTGCCTTCTAGTAACATAAGGAGATATGCATGTAAATTCTCAGCAACATTACTAACAAATTTGAGTTGAACAGAGAGGACAACAAAATTGTGCCAAACTAGATGGGAGAAAGCCCATGAGGTTCAATTTTGCACCAAGGTTTACAGACAGCTGAGTATAGTTGAGATCAGGATAGGTGCTTCTCCTTAGGAAAGAGAACACCAGTTTGTTACCCATGGCCCAGTGACCAAGTATGAATACATACGTTCAAGTATCATTATACAGACAATAGCTAATATTTAGGAATAGTTATATATACAGATATATATATATGCATACAATAACAAAATATAAAAAAATCATTAATTTTTAGTCATGAATTTTAAAGAAGTGAAGAAGAGTATAAGGGAGATTTGAATATAGGGGATATTTGAATGAAGGAAAGGATTAAGATTAAATTAAATGCCTTAACTAAAATATAATCTCACAAATAATAGAAGAAAAGAATTAGCTGCATGATTTATAGATCATCTACTGCTAACTATGAAAAGACCCTTTGGAGTTTTTTGTTTGTTTGTTTTTCCAGACAGGGTGTCTGTGTAGTTTTACAGTGATATTTTAAGTTCTTTTTTTTATTGAAAAAAAAAATTCCTGCTTCCACCCAGCCTCCCATTTCCCTCCCCTTCCTCCCACCCCTCCCCCTCCCCCTCCCCCTCCCTCTCCAGTCCGAAGAGCATTCAGGGTTCCCTGCCCTGTGGAAAGTCCAGGGTCTTCTCCCCTCCATCCAGGTCTAGGAAGGTGAACATCCAAACTGGCTAGGCTCCCACAAAGCCAGAACATGAAGTAGGAACAAAACCCCATACCATTGTCCTTGGCTTCTCGGCAGCCCTCATTGTCCGCCATGTTCAGAGAGTCCGGTTTTATCCCATGCTTTTTCAGTCCTAGTCCAGCTGGCCTTGGTGAGCTCCCAATAGATCAGCCCCACTGTCTCAGTGGATGGGTGCACCTCTCGTGGTCCTGACTTCCATGCTCATGTTCTCCCTCCTTCTGCTCCTCATTGGGATTTTGGGAGCTTAGTCCGATGCTCCAGTATGGGTCTCTGTCTCTATCTCCATCCATCGCTAGATGTTCTATGGTGATATGCAAGATATTCATCAGTATGGCTATAGGATAGGGTCATTTCAGGTTCCCTATCCTCAGCTGCCCAAGGAACTAACTGGGGACATTGCCCTGGGCACCTGGGAGACACTCTAGGTTCATGTCTCTTACCAACCCTAAGGTGGTTCCCTTAATTAAGTTATGTGATTCCCTGCTCCTCTATCCAACTTTGTTTTATCCCCAATCATCCCATTTCCCCAAGTTCCCCCCCCATCCTCCCCTTCTCACTTTTCTCTCCCCATCTCCCCTTACCCCCATTCCACCTCACCCCCAAGATCCCAATTTTTGCTCAGCAATCTTGTCTATTTCCCATAGCAGGGATAATAACTATATGTTTTTCTTTGGGTTCACATTCTTATTTAGCTTCTTTAGGATCACAAATTATAGACTCAGTGACCTTTATTTATGGCTAGAAACCAATTATGAATGAGTACATCTCATGATCCCTGTTTTTGGGTCTGGGTTACCTCACTCAGGATAGTGTTTTCTATTTCCATCCATTTGCATGCAAAAGTTCTTATGTGCTATCTAGAATTATACCTTATTTTACATCCCTGCCATGAAGCGAAACAACAAGAAAATTATATGTTGAACATGGAAGTATTCAAAATAAAATATAGTTCTAATACTGGCTCTGTTATTTATTGTCCAAAGAGAAGAACATTCTCTATAAAGAAACATGTGTTGTCTTTCTAATCTGAGATGTAAGAAGACCATGGGCCGTTAATAAGTCATCAACTTGGCCAGTTATATGACTGTACTCAGTTATTGCTGATTTGCAAGTGCCAGAGCATGCCTACTTCCTTTCTTCATAATTAGGTCAGATCTGTGCTGGAGTCAGTCTCAGACTAGTCACAGCACAGACGTGAAGGTCCCAACTAAGCTTCTTGTGCTGCAGCTGCTCTGGCTTATAGGTAACAAATTTAATTTCTATAAAGAAATTTCCAAATAGCTTTGAGTTTAGTTTGGTCAGTACTTTGTTGTGTCGGTAAAAGCTATCTTAAAATTAATTGTATAGAAATTTATTTTCAATTTCCAATCTCAGGTGCCAGATGTGACATACAGATGACCCAGTCTCCAGCCTCATTGTCTGCATCTCTAGGAGAAAGTGTCACCATCACATGCCAGCCAAGTAAAAGCGTTGACTGGAATTTAGCATGGTATCAGCAGAAACAAGGGAATCCTCCTAAACTCCTGATCAAAGCTGGAGATGAACTGGCAGATGGGGTCCCTTCCAGGTTCAGTGGCAGTAGATCTGACCCACAGTATTCTCTCAAGATCAGTAGCCTGCAGCCTGAAGATGTGGCAACTTATTACTGTCTACAGCATAGTGAGCTTCCACCCACAGTGATACAAGTCATAACACAAACCCACAAGGAAGCAGAAGCATGTGGCATGGCTGTACCAGCTGTTCCTCCAGGTGGGCCACCCATTGAAACTGTTTCTCAGATGTTACAGTATATTGAGCATAACTCATGATGAGTCATTTTATGTTGTTAGGAGAGGTTAACCAGTCCTCTCTGTAGTCTCTTATTTTTCTGCTACATTTGCAACACTACAGAGTACAAATGTCTTTTCTGCCTTAACAGAGAACCCAATTGTTCTGTGTGATGAGCCTAAGTTGTATCATCAGTTGGGACTCATACAGGAGAGTGAATGCTTCTGTGGACATTCTAGAACATGTTCTTTATTTACAGAAAACTAACTCTAAATGCCCATATTTAAAAGACAGGGAAACATTTCTGAGAGAAAGGATTCTGGGATTTCTCAGAAAAGCTGGACTGTATGTGTCAGGGAAAGAGAAAGCTGAATGAATACCCATAATCCTTTGCTGTGCTTGCAATTCAAGCATTGTGTATTTATGCTTTCACCTGCCTGCAACACTTAACACAGGATTTTTCCGGCTTCTATGTCCAATTGTCTACTTACAAGAATAAAACAGTATTAAACCACCCTAATATGACTTTTTCTCCACAGTATTAAATGAAACATAGACTTTACCACATGAAATCAAAGAAAGTAATAGGCTGTCTTAAATATGCTTACAAAAGTGATAGTAATGAAGTCTTGATATTCTAGGGTATAGTTTTAGGAACAATACAAAACACCAAATCACCAAAAGTGATCTGTACTCCATTTCCTCTCTTTTTGTCTCTAATATGGGATCTTTATCAGAAATATCATCTATCATGTGTGAATGGTTATATTCTCCATCTATTAATGATGTCCTATTTATCATCTGTTTATGTACAGTTCAAAAAACTTAACTACTGTAGATTTATATAAGTAAAACAAATGTGTCAGAAAATATAATACCATATTTCTAGAATTTTCTTAATTATTTCATCTAGTGAATTTCTACATAAATTATAGACTGAGTTTATCACCTTTTGAAACTCCATGAATGTTGATTGCACTACATTGAGTTTGTGTACCTATTTGAAAAAAAATATATTTTTAAAGTATATTTTAAAAACAAATATCCCCCAAGTATGTAGTATTCCTACATGATTTTCCCCAAATACAAAGCATTAATAACCACTTTGGTGTGATAAATCTCAAAGTTGAAACTTCATACCAAAAAGCCACAGCATCAGCATCCCCCCAAATGAAATACAAACACTCATGTCCATGCTTTGTCTTCATTGCAAATGACACCAGAATGGGATGTGATCAGCTGATTCAAGAGGAACTCATGCATGTTGCAGTGCTCCGAACACATGCAAATCAGCAGGGATTGGAGAGATGGGCACAAACATCTTCAGTGTGTGCTTCACAGTCTTCAAGAGCTTCATGATATTTTACAAGGTTTCCTGATTTTTCTTTGTTATATATAGACCTCTTTACCATTTCATAAAAAGTCCTGAAGAACTGAACCAGTAGAATAAGTCAACCAGAGAAGCTTATCATATTTTGCTTTCTGAACCAAATTTGTATTAGTTGGTCCATGGACTCATAACAAACTACCAACATTTGTTCTTTAAATTGGATGTGATCTGTCATAGTCCTAATAAGCATAACTGGAGAGTTAGGGGCCATGGTCAAAAATCAAAATGTGGGCAGTCATGAAAAAGAGATTTAAGGGAGACTTTTCCCCATTGACTCTTACAGTCTCTGTAGCTCTTTCTTTTCTGAGGCCATATCACTCTATTGTTTCATGTTCACATGCATTCATTATGCCCATATTCTTCTATTAGTCAGAATGCTTATAATTGCTTTCAGTGCCCAATTGGAAAATTAGCTTCCTTCAGAAAAGTGCTAAAACAATGACAAACCATTGAGGTAGCAACCTAGTAAAATAAAACTCTTTCTATATGTACACTATATTATTACATCCTCCATTGTCAAATATTCCATTTTCCTCTTTCATCCATCTATTCTTCCTTTTATCAATATTTGCCTACATAACCACAATGATATTAAAATCTCTTTAAATACAAAAAAAAATACACATCAGTTTGTAATACCCAGAGGACTTCTGTGGGAATTTTGTTATGGTATTACAGGATGACCAACTCTTTACCCAACATCATGCAGTAAAATGAGTCTCCAGATGTGATTCTGAATAATTCTCTACACAGAATATTCACAGCCCATAAAAGCTGTTAATGTGTTTTAAAACCTCTCAATGTGTTTCAAATTTCATGCTTGTCTATGCCAGGTTTTGACCAAAGTATACAAAGTATATTTTTGAAAATGGAATAATTTACCTCCCTTTATTTTTAACAGTTTAAAGTCTTTCATCTTTTAAGTAGTTGAAAGATGGATCTCCTTGGGAAGGGGAAATAGAGTAGATTTTGAGGGTTGACTGTAGGTAGTTGTGAATGGGAAAAGAAAGGATCAGGTGTGGAGTGAGGGAGAGAATTAGAAGAGATGATTGGAAAGGGAGCATTTCTGGATAAGGTAGAAACTTAGTGCTGTGAAACTTCCAAGAACATGCAGAGTTGACATGGGCAAAGATTCCTAATAATAGGGAATATGGAACCTGAACTGGACATCCCCTTTAATAGACAAGGCATCTAGAGGATGGATTAGGACACCAACCCAGACACATAACATTTAACCTACAATTTGTCCTGCCTACAAGATTCGCTGGAGTAAAGGTGGCAAAAATACTGTTAGAATAGCCAATGAATGATTGGGCAAGTCTGAGACCAATGCTCTGAAGGGGAACCCATCTCTGACACTACCTGAAAGCCAGGACCCAGAGGTTAGAAAGCCCAGAGATCAAGATTAGAATCAAACAAAACTGGCAAAAATAAAAATAATAAAATATGAACTTAAATATGCCTCATGTTATTTTGCTATACCCATTGATTGATGCCTAGTTCAATTGTCATCAAAGAGTTTTAATCAATCAATTGATGGAAACAGATAAAGAGATCACAGGCAAACATGAAGTATAGTTCAGCGAAAACTGAGTAAGTGGGGGAGGATGGATTATAGGAGCCAGAAGGTGTCAAGGATACCACAAGAAAAGCCAGAGAATCAACTAAACAAGACATTGGGTTTTAAGAATACTGAACCAAAAGTCAGAAAATCTGCCTGGTACTGACTTATGCCCTCTGCATAGATGTTACAATTGTGTACCTTTGTATTCTTTTAAGACTCCCAAAAGTGGGAAAAGGGGCTGTCTCTGACTCTTTTTCTAGCTTTTGGGGCCCTATTCTTCATACTGGATTGCCTTGTACTAGGGTAGGTGCCCAGTCTTACTGCAATTTGATATGCCATGTTTGTTTGCTATCCATGGGTAGCTTGCACTCTTCTGAATAAAAATAAAAAGAGCATGGATGGGGAAGGCAGAGGGTGGTGGAGGGAGAGTCTGAGAAGAGAGAAAGAGAGAGCTACTGTGGTCAGTATAAAATAATAATACTAATAGTAACAATAATAACTAATTAAAATATAAATAAAACAATTTTTTGAGAATTTTATATAAGTAACCAATGTAAATTTACAAGAATTTAATAGTGGACCCTCCTTTATTTTTGTATAATCTGAAAGCATCTGTTGATTTTCTCAGGATCATAAATCCATTTGCCTCATGGTGGAAATGGTTGCACCTTAACTCAACAAGAAACCTCTGTTCTTTCCCACTTAACGTGAGGCAGAAACCCAAACTGAATAAAAAAAAAACATGGACTGATATACATAAAATTCCCAAGTGCCATTGGGCATAGCATTTTCTAGATACAAAAACAGAGGTTTTCATGGTGTGACCATAGGATTGTTGAATGCACGGTTGATACTATAACAACTTGAAATTCTGCATTATTTTAGGAAAGAAAAAAATCCTTTGTGATCTAAGAAAGAAAACTTCTAGTAGAATCAAAGAACAAAGGCCAGATCACAGAAGGGTGATCAGCTGAATAATCAACCTTAAACAAGGATGATAACAAGTGCTACAAAATTTATGTAGAGGATTGTCAGTACAAAGATAAATGAAATAGAGAATGTGGAGTCACAGGGAAGCATGTGCTCCTCACAACCAGAGACATATAGCTGTTCATATGTATTTAAATGTACATATAAATATAAAGGGATATCTATGAATCAGAGAAAAAATTGAGAAAGGGGAGATGGAAAGAAAATAAAAAGAACAGGAATGAAGACCAAGTGATGAAAAAGGGCTTTGAAAGGAAATTCAATTAGAGATGAAGGAAGGAGGGGTGGGGAAAGGACTTTAAGAAGAAAGACATGCTCTTAAGTGACAGAGAGATGACTCTGAATTTAGGAGTTATTTTACTTTTGTGGTGTTCTGGGGTTAAGGCCCCAAAACCTATATTAAGTTATTCATAACCATGTAAATCTCTAGGTCCAAGGTATCTGACTCCCTTTAATAAATACATGGAAAATTCAATATGTCATTTTTTTATTACTGAGTAGTACTCTAATGTTTTAATGTGCCACATTTTCTTTATCCATTCTTCAGTTGAGGGGCATCTAGATTGTTTCCAGGTTCTGGCAATTATAAATAATGGTGCTATGAGCATAGTTGAACAAATGCTTCTGTAGTATGATTAAGCACCTTTTGTGTATATTCCCAAGGATGGTATTGCTGGATCCTGAAGTACGTTGAGTCCCAATTTCCCGAGAAACTGCCATATTGATTTCCAAAGTGGTTGTACAAGTTTGCATTCCCACCAGCAATGGGTGAGTGTTCCCCTTACTCCATCCATATCTTCTCCAGCTAAATCATCATTGGTCTTTTTGATCTTAGCCGTTCTGACAGGTGTAAGATGGTATCTCAGAGTTGTTTTGATTTGCATTTCCATGATAGCTAAGGAAGTTGAACATGTCCTTAAGTATCTTTTGGTCATTTGAAATATTCTTTTGAGAATTCTCTGCTTAGTTCAGTACCCCATTTTTTAATTGGGTTATTTAGAATTTTAATGTCTATATTTAGAAAACACTATTCTGAGTATGGTAAACCAGACCAAATAATGAATATGTTATGTACTTACTCATAAGTGAATACTAGC